GGTCAGATTCACACTATCATGGTAATGATGTACGCATATTCGCAACTAATCTCTTCTCTAACTGTAACACTCTCACAGATCACATTAAACATTAATTTGATATATGTTGCCCCCAGAAAGGAATATAAGCGTCTGGCGTTGCGTGCATACTCCACCTGATAGGAGCCAAGAACAAATCAATTGACCCACCGAGCGACGAATCATCTTTACTCGGTTGTATTCAGCTCGACCATCTACTCGGTTGTCTCCTCGGCCAGAAGCTCACTCGACTATCGGATCGGAAATCATAGGGACGACCCGGAAACCAACTCGTCTCTACTAAGGGGGTAAGATCCAACTCAGCTCCCTTCAGATATACATCAATCGACGCTACAATATTTGATCGATCCCATCAAGATTTCAACTCTGACAAATCTCAGGCATAAACAACTTACTTTGCTCACAAGTTACTTCCCAGATATCACTAAGATATCCCCTCCTGTGCTCGAATGACTTCCCTTCCAATCGTCAGCCGTCATCTGTAAAGCAAAGAATAACTAAATAGTCAGCCTATCTTCCGTCATGCCTCATCTGTCAAAATCCGGGATATGTTGGAAATATCCTCTCCTTTGCTCGAATGACTTCCCTTTCAATTGCCAGCCAACATCTGTAAAATTGAGAATGATTTAGCATCATGTCTACTCATCCCACCACCGCCCCCCTTGTGCGTAGTCAAAGCCAAGAGTTAGAATCTCAGAGGCGAAGGACTATAAAAAGGAGGAAGGAGGGTAAGGACATGAGGTTCAGTTTTTTCTACTCTCTACTCTCTGCTCTTTTCTTTTAATCTTGACTCCACTAAGAGATCGAACCTTCATTAAATTTGGAGGAATCTTTCTCCCAAAGGATCTATTTTCTCTTCACTAATAGCTCTAAAAGAGTACTCCCTGAAAAAGACCTCAATGGTCCCGGGACTCTCCCTCAAACCCCATTCAAGCTCATCACCTGACTTGACTGTCGGAGGTACCCCGAGGGAAACACACCCCACCATCTTATGGGTTCGTTCTTATTGTTTATGCAGCAGAATCAAGATTTCCAGTCAAAGGATCGGGCATAAAGTCGGAGGAGGAGTCGGCCACATCTCTCATCCTCTCACTCTTCATCATCCACGGATAGCTCTCATCAACTGTGTGATATCAGACATCAACAGGGTGAAATGGATAAATTGTCCTCGTGTCTATAGTGCGATGAAGAACATTTTCCCATGTCCTTAAAACATTTCCTACATTCACTAAGTTTTTAATATAAGCATAGATAAAGAGTCTTTTGCACATATATACTTTTCAAATATACAAAATTTGCCAATCTGCCTCCAAATTTATATATTTGCTAATTTACTCTCCAATTTTGAATTTTTCTCTATCCTAGTTTTTTAAAACATCTATCTTTCTTAAAACATCTCTCTTTCTCCTTGATTAAGGTAACTACTTTTATTAGATAGAGAGAGTGTGTGTGTGAAATAGAGATGGTATGCTAATTTATTCTCCCACTGTCCCACGTCCCTTCTCTTCTCTCTATATATCTAATTACATATTAATAAAAAATAATCACATTTTTAAAAAACGGAAAAAAATAATTATCCTAATCAGGGATATGAAGCAAAGCATTGAAAAAAATAAGCAACCACACAGATCTGAATGGAGAATTGCAAATGTTACAGATTAGGGGGCATTTATGGAAATTTGTAAATAGTTCTGTTCTTATGAGGTAAATCATGAGCAAGAAAAATAAACAGGACAAATTTTTAAAACCATCCGGTTTTGAAATTTATTTCTAAAAAAAGACCCTTTCAACTTTAATTTCAAAAACAGACCTAGTTAGATGAAACTGGGTCTGTTTTTAAAAAAAAAAATTTCAAACTTCACGGGAGTTGAACTCCCGTGAAGTTTTTTCTCATAACAAAACTTCACGGGAGTTCAACTCCCGTGAAGTTTGAATTTTTTTTTTCAAAAACCGACACAGTTTCAACCAACTGGATCGGTTTTTAAAAATAAAGTTGAAATGAGTTGTTTTTTATAAATAAATTTTAAAAATGGATGGTTTTGAAAATTTGTCCAAAATAAAAAATCGGCCCCAAATTATTTTGGCGGGAAACCCTAGCTTCGACCACCGCCTAGTACGTATAGCTCCCCTCGTATCGCTAATTCCACCACCATTTCCCCCGGAGTCCGATCCTCGATGGAGAAATACGCAGTCCCCGTTCCTTCATCCAAAAACTCTAAAAACCCTAATCCCATCACCAGGTACTCTCTCTGTCTCTCTTCGATCGGATCGAATCGAATCGCTGCCCTCTTTCCCGTTGTTAGATGTTGAATTAGTTTTTTTTTAATCCAATTCTAAAATCTAGGTGGAAGCGGATCGTTTCAGAATTGAACGGGAGGATCTCTTCCAAGTGCCGCCATGAAGATTCTCAGCTTCTTCTCGATTCTTACGCGCAAGTAAAAGCTTCGCTTTTCCTTTTCTCTTTAGTTAATTTGCAGAAAACTCCTCAACCTTTGACGATTTTCCATTACGTGACCTGAAACGAACCAAAGATTTTAAATTTCTCATGCTATTTTCTGTGGCGATTTGCAACATAACAACAACAACAAGCAAGCAAGCAAGCATTTATCCCAATTGTTTGGGGTCGGTTATATGAATCCTATTTTTCCTTTCCATTCTGTTACGGGACATTTCCTCTGATTACGTTAGTTGCCCAAGCCATTCTAGATTGAGCTCTAGATCTCCTAGCCCCATTAACTCTAATATTATCACTTTTCCTAATCGGTGTGCTAATGGGTCTCCTTTGTACATGACCAAACCATCTTAATCTATTCTCTCTCATTTTATCATCAATAGGTGCAACCTCTAATTTACTACGGATGCACTCATTTCTTATCCTATCTTTTAATGTATACCCACATCGCAACGTTCTCATTTCTACTACACTCATTTCTGCGGCGATATGCCAAAAAATAAATTTATTTAAAAGTTCCGTAAAAAGGTAGTCACTTTAGCCTGAACTCTTAGAAGTTAGAATTATCACAGTCGATATGCTTAATTATAGATTAGCGAAAACAGTAAGACATGCAAATAATCACCATCTATGGATGCCAGGAAGTACGCTGGTTTTCCAGAGTTCCTCAGTTAAATTGCAGAAAACACCTCAACTTTTGATGATTTTTCACTACCCATCCTGAAGCCAGAAATCAGAACCAAAATTTCCTATTTTCTCAGGACAATCCCTTCAGGTCTTCTGTTATATATTACTGGCACTGAGCTATCACTTGCTAACACTGGCTTTACGTTTTGTTTAACATGACAGGTTAGAACGTTTCAACATCATTACAAGACTGGATCAGATAACTGTCCAACATATGTAAGTTATTTGTTCAATTCCATGCACTTAATTTTAATTTGTTTTTCATTAAATGCTGATATTGTCTGACAGATTGCTAGGATAACAAATGTCGCGAATCATGACTCTCCAGACTACTTTGTGAGGTAAAAACTCTGCCTGGTCTTTATCTTTGTAATTCATTCATTTGTGAGTAATGTCATTTTGATCTTCGGAGCATACATTTTCTTCTGCAATATTTGATACTTGTATAATTTTTGTTCTTGTATAGAATGCATGTGATGGCCACCCTTTTATTGCAGCTCATAAACTTTACATTGTTTATCTCCATCTGTAAGTAGTTTACGTATGGCAATGAACATCTTTGTGTAAAACTCATGAGGCTATATAGTTTTTCTATAGAGGAACTATGGAGTAGAAGCTCATGCAGTGTACTGAAAGATATTACATAACCATAATTAAAGGCAACCATAATTAAAGGCATCTGATCATCAAGTACCTTCACTATGAGCACACCAAAATGCGGATCTCCATAAAACCAGAAAGTATAATGATATCAGCAATAAGATTATCATATGTTAAAGGTCAATCACAAAATGACAAAACTACATGCCACCCTTAAAGGTGGTGGCTTGACAATAACACTCTGAATGCCATTGCTCCCACCTGAGAGCTCCCTGTCCATTCATTGCAAACACATCTGGATTTCTTCCTTTTCTTTACAGTGTGAAGAACAGCTTGGTCTTGACATGGGGTGGCTCCAGGATCATTTTCTACTCGATGATTAGTTGAACTGTCTGATAAGAATTTGTTATTTCAATATCTAATTTCTACATTTCTCCATAGGGCTTAGCATATCGTTGCTGTTGGGATTTTCCTGTGCACTAATGAAGTTATCCATCTTTGTTACAATAAATAGCACTAGATGTTATCATGCAAATCAGCTTTGCCTAATCCAAAAACTAATCAAATTTAGGTTAGATGCAATAGTGAACCTAAAATACTAAATACTAAATTTCTAACAAGTTCCGCCAGGAGACCGTTATGATTTAGTGTGGTAATAATAATAATAATGTTAGTTTTTAAAATCTGCTTTAAACTCATGGTAGTGCCTGAGTTGCTCTGATAGCATATTAAAGTCACCTTCACTCACCAAAACTCTGAAACTATGGTTAGGGTTGAGGGTTATACTCACATAATTTTTGTCATTCCTAGAAGTATAGCAATTAAATAAAATATGCATAAGCTTCTCTTCCTGTCCCAGTTTCTCTTAATCTGAAATTATTCTAGGAGATAAAACTCTCTGTCTGCGTTTTACTGATCATTACATTTCAATTTAGGAAAGTTTGTCAACAAGTAAATCTGTTAGTTGGACTCCAATTTTGGGTTCTAACAATGTTTTCTTTTTTCTTAAAACAGAGAAGGAATGTTTCACATCCAACTCCTCATCTTCTGGGTTGTTATACTAGATAGGCTGCAGATTTTACTCCACTTTCTAGGTTTGTGTAACCTCTTAGGGTATCTAGTTGCCAGATAAGAAGTAGGTAGATTGGTTTCTAATGTTATTTATCTCTTCTACTTAGTTGCGAAACTATGGAGCTAAATTTAGACATCCCAAATTCCAACTCTACGTGGGGGTGGGGTCAAATTATGCATATACAGGCTGGAACCAAGGTAGGCCCTGCTGTAAGGGGTGGATGCACAAGCCTGATGCAAATATGAACAATAAAAAACATGCATAATACATGAACAAAGGGGAAATAAGGCAACTTGTGTTAATGCTAGAAATCAAAGGAGATGATCAAGCCCATAATTACAAAGGAAATCCTACAGTTGTCATCTATGCCAATCTGCATCAGAATTTGCTCACAACTTGAGTGAGTTTTGAGCAGAAAAGTGGAGGCCATGACAGAGTGTCCTCTTGACATAATGTAGAATACGAAGGACAGCAACAAAATGAGTAGATCAAGGGGCTGACATAAACTGACTAACAACATGCACTGCATAAGTAATGTCAGGTTTTGTAACAGTAAGATAAACTAGGCTGCCAACAAGCTGACGATATCAAGTAGGATCTGACAAGGGTGTTCCATCCATAGGGGTGAGGAGGTGCGCATTGGGTTCAAGAGGAGCGCTCGCTATCTTACTGTTGGTCAAACCAGCATCAGACTAGATATCAGATGCATACTTGACCTGTGAGAGCGAGGACCCGTCAGCTCGGAAGTAACATCTAGTCCCAAGAAGTAATTAAGTGGTTCAAGGTCCTTCATTTCAAAATGCTTGCTAAGCTACTGCTTAAGGGAGTTGATGCCTTTTGTATCGTCACCCATAATAATCATATTGTCCACATAAAGAATGAGAAGAACAATGTTGGAGGAAGATCCGTGAATGAATAGTGCTGAGTCTTAGTGATTGTGTGGGCTGGATTACAGTTGTGGGATCACAGCTGTAGGATTTCCTTTGTAATTATGAGCTTAATTATCTCCTTTGATTTCTAATGTGGATAGATGGGAGCTGTACATATGTTAGATTAACGACTACCAAGTTTCAGAAGAAAATGATGAACGGTATAGTGCTAGAACAACAGCGTGATGGTGGCTGCTATGCAAAAATCTCAAAGGTTCCCATTAAAATAGTCATCTTAGACTCAATCAACAATACTCTAGATACTGTGGTCTTGTTGGATTCTGTTAAACTTTTATCTGGTCCAGAGATACTTTGTTTGATTTGCGAGATAGTTTGGTGGCTTTTGCTAGCAAATATATGACTGGAATTATTTCAATTTAAATGTCATAATGGCCAAACGCAAAGGAGACTTATCCAGAAGAACACGATCCTTACACTCAAGCAAATGAAAAAGAAAATAAACTATAGAAGGATTACGAGATGATCTCGTTTGATTAGGCACCATTACTTGATTAGAAGTCCTCATTACACTTCAGCTTATCACATCGCTTCCAGGCTGATTGCTACAATCTTACATACAGAAAACCATTTAGCTTTCTTCTTAGGTTAGGGACGAAAGCCAATAAATAGCAGCGGCTTCCTGATCCACGAGCATCCTGAATTGCTTGCTTCTTTCGTTGAGTTTACTTTATCAATAGAATGCATTCTATGATATTGAGAAAGTATGCTAAGGAAAGGAGGTGAGAAAAGAACTAAAAACAACAACGGATGACTTATGTAAGGTTTCTCCTTTGGAATGTGACTTTTAGTATTTACAAAGCGACCGTTGGATTTGATTCTGCAATATACGGAGACAACCATATAAACATACGAGTTAGGTGTAAGGATTTACGAAGTAAAGAACAGAACTGGAGACTAAACGGTACTTTATGCACAAGTTTATAGTACACAATGAGTAGCATATACTTTCTCAACCAAATACTGCATGATACTTCATGTTTAGATTTTTCACAACAACATAACCATCAACATTCTTTTCTTGCATTAAAAGTAGGTGATGTTGGAGCATGGCATGATCGTAAAAGAAAAAATGCATATATTTGCTATCCCCCTTTGTTCTGTTGCTTATAATGTTACTGGTTCATGCAAGCTTTCCATAAGTATCTGCAGTCCCAGACTCCCAATAAGTATTGTTTGAAGGAACCACTAATCTTATACATATTTCCATGCAGGGAGGGAATCACTGGTATTGAATTTGACTCCAAGGTTAGGACCAACATCTTTTTGGACCTTGAGATATGAATTTGTTCCCTTTTCTGACTATGTTACTTTTATTGAATTGTGGATAAAGATGGGTGTGTAACCATCTATAATTGAATTATAAAGTAGGTTATTGTTTCACAAAATTTTTAACGTCTTGAATATTCCTGATATTGGCTACTAACAAGTTTTAATAGAAAATAATAAAAAATCCTGAGTTCCTATGTTGAGGACTGGCCCACATCTAGTTAATAGTTCTAGATCAGCTTGCTCAAATATCAAGTTTGATCATGTTGTTACATTTGGAAGGTATAAGAGTTGAATCTAGTTAGTGCACATGTATATTTAAATTAATATATGTGGGACCAACGAAACTAGTTTTTCTAAATAAGTTTTTTCCTTTAATTTTTGAAACAGAAAATAAGCCTAAAAGGGCTTCCCTCTTTTATACAAAATTTATGTATTAGAAAAACAGACAGTAGAAACTGGAAATTGTTTAATCTGTATTTGTTTTTCAGTCTTGCTGAGAAAGTACTACTGTAAAGTGTATACATAAAGCCTCTACTGCAATAGAAAGTTTTTATTTGTGAACCGAGTGCTTTTAGAAATATAATATTCTTACTAAAATGAATTGGAATACATCATGAAACGGAAACTATAGTTATCAACTCTACTGTTTAAAAACTTTATTCTTTTCAACTATTGGGTGGGTCGAAGTATAATAGGTTGAGATTTGATCTTTATTTGTATTCTTCTTGACTGTGTTGACGGTTTTAAATTCTGATTCATTCTGGTCACCAGAGGGTTTATCCAATGCCATTTAGGTTGATTGTACATGGTGAAGCCTTAATTGCCTTAATTTACTTCTAATTGGAAAGTTCATGGTTATGTTGGAACGTCCTTGATGCCTGTTGTTTGGGGCATGCTTGTGGACTTTCCTGTACATAAAATAGAATTGGGAGGGCCTAGTGCATTTTTAAGTCTAATGAGTAAATTGGAAAGAAAGAACAGGAGGAAGGAGAGAAATTAGCATGTCATTGCCATAGCGACCATAACCCATGTCTCATGTTACCACAACGAACATTGAGCTAAAATTAGCATGTTATCTGTGTTGCGATGCCATCTTTGGAAGACAATCCTGTTTTTAATCACCAATAGGTTATCAGAATGACATAGTGGATCAGTCCGCTCCTGCAATGTAGCCCTTAAGTTGGGCTTCTGGATTGGTTTGAGCATTTGAAACCATTGTATATTTAACTTCAAGCTGCCCCTAGTTAAGGTTTACTGATGCTATATTGTGCACATACATTATGTGTGAAATGAAATCCATGGGTGCCTGTTGGCCAGAAGTGTACTGGTGAAAGCTGTTCTTTTGCCAGTCTTCTGATCATTAAAATCGTAGGTCGGAGTCATTAGAAGTTAGGATTTTTTTAGAAGATTTGGTTTTTTTCGTTGAGATATTTGATTAGGATGAAGTTGTTATTTATCTATTGGAGTTGTTATTTTCTTAGGATGTTATCCATCGGTTAAGATTAAGATTCTGTTTTAGTTCTATAAATAATGGTGTACTTTTTCATTTGAGGGAGGAGGAGAGAGGAGTGTTTATGAGAAACCCTGCATGTCAACTGCAACTAGTATTCGACATGTGAGTTGCCGGCATGTGAAGTTCCCATGTGCGAAGCCCATTATGTGTATCTTTGTTTTCTTAAATGAAGAGTGCAATTCTGATATTTGTAATTCCGTTTCATTTTATCCTAATAAGTTCTCAAGGAATCTCCATCTTGTCATTCCCCGTCAATTATTGGCTGTTGAGTTATGTGAACTACAAATCAAAACTAAGAAAATCCAATCTGATGCGTCACATACTTATTTGTAGAGTAACTCTCAAACGAGAGAGAAGTCAAACTAAAGTTTGTGTTTGTCAATGAAACTTGTGAGGTTGTCGATGCAGCGACAACATGGTCCAGTGAAGTAGAGATTCCTAGGTTATGAGGAGAATGTGCTGCTGATGGCACCGACTCACATAATAGAGGTAAAAGAATAGGATTTTCAGATTGATAGTTCTAAAAAAAAGGATAATATGATCGGTCTTTAGATACATCAGCCTGAGATAAAGGTGCTGGCTATCTAGCATGGATATTTCCACAAAGTCACCCCTGTGTTGGATAAATTTCTGATACTTGAATGCCCTGATACTGAAGGATCATGTTAAATACTCCTTTTGATGTATCCTAATATTTGCAACTTGTACCGGATGTTTTGAAGATATACTACGACATGTACCCACGATTAGGAAATTAAAAGAAAAATGGATTCAGAATTCTATTTTATCTTTGTAGTTGCATATATATAAGGTGACCATCTTCTTACTAGGAAATAGAAATTCTTTGATCTGGTAAATATCTGATACTTTAATGCACTGATACTGAATGATCATGTTAGATAATCCTTTTGATATATCCTAATATTCGCAACTTGTACCGGATGTTTCGAAGATATATGACTATCCAAGATTAGGAAATTAAAAGACCCATTCTATGAAAAATGGTGGATTCAGGATTCTATTTGATGATTGTAGTTGCATCTATATAAGGTGGCCATCTTCTTATTAGGAATATAAATTCTTTGACCTGGTTAGGTTTTATTAGAATCATTATAAAACTATAATCCTCGACCCTCACCATAACTTCGGAGTTTTGGTTTAATGGTTAGAGGAGCTAAATTTAATATCAGAGCAACCGGGTTCAAATCCCACCGGCCACGAATTTTAAGTGGATTTTCTAAAAATTGGTTCAAATCCCATCGGCCACGAATTTTAATCGGATTTTCTAAAAATTGACACCGTTGCGTGAGTCCAGGTTTCAGCTCATAAAAAAGGGCGTTCAACCTGCGGGGACATATTAGAATTAATATAAAACTATAATCCTTGACCATCACCATAACTTTGGAGTTTTGGTTTAATGGTTAGAGGAGCTAAATTTAAGAGATTTGACCCAAACCTGAACAACATTGAACCGAAAAATGTGCTTAGAAGGCTTTTAAAAGAACGTACAGGTTGTTACAAGATCTAAAGAAATCTGAGTCGGGTATGCTTCATCAACAAAGTGCTTGCCCTGGACCACATACAACCCGGGAATGAAGCCAACCTGTACGTGCCCGTAACTGATATGCTTTGGTGTGAATTGCTATATTGTCATTCTCAATATTATTCTAGCTAATTCCAAACCCTAGACCTAAAGAAATCTCAGTCGGGTATGCTTCATCAACAAAGTGCTTGCCCTGGACCATATAAAACCTGGGAATGAAGCCAACCTGTACTTGCCCGTAACTGATATGCTTTCGTATAAACTTCTCTCTTATTATTCTCAACATTATTCTAGCCAATTCCGAACCTTAACATCTAAAAAATGTAAAGGAAAGAAAAACAAAAACCCAAACCTGAAAAGCCCGAACTAAATTGACACGACTTGGTCAAATCCAAGACCCCGACAAAATCACACAAGCATGTAATACGTGCCTATACCTATTAGGTTTGGTAGGTTTGAGGCGAGGGGTTATCCTTTGTGTTGGGTATAAAAATTGTCAGAACCTGCCCAACCTTTGCGTGCTTCAATTCTTATGTGTAATCATGGATTTTTGATTGTATAAAATCAGAAGTATTTTAACATTCAGATAATTTGCCTTTCAGCCGTTTTAGCTGTACAAATTCATGCTAAAAAACATGCACATTGACATGCATAATTTTATTATTGTCATATGCATACCACATTTTGCCTAGTCATATCTTATTATATCTAGTCACATGTTTATGTTCAATAAGATAGAAAATGTGCTATGCTCATGGCCATTCACACGTGAATTTTCCAAGATCTGAATACACCACGTCATAAACTGTTCCAATGTAAATTGTTAGGTTCTCCTTGGTTTGCAATCTGCATGCAACTTATTGGGCTTGACTGGGCTACTAAATTCAATTAAGCTTTATATTCTTTATTGGATCCAAATCATTTTCAGCAGAGTTGTTCTTTCTTCTTATTTTCAAACAGTTAAACCCATTTAAAGTTTCATCTGTCTTATTTTGATCAAATTGAGTTTAACTTGAACCTGATCAGATTTGATGCTATTATACTAGCTTCACTGAAAGAATTCCTTTCATCTCAAACAATAACATGTGTGGATAAATATATAGAGTTGAGGCTATAGAGACTTCATGTGGAACCACCACTGATGGACTGTGCCAATTTGAGTGGTGATATTTTTTAGGATATTAAAATGTGACAAGAATTCAGCTCATATCTAACATACCATTGTCATGGCATCTCTATTAGAAAAAGGAGGAGCCATACCACTTTTCGTTGTGCATATTTCGAAGTAACTAGGAAGTGTGATTGAGGCCATACTACCTTCAACCTTCAGAAACATTTTGAAGAAACCGGTCCTTTGGAATCTATCAGGATAAAAATTTAAACAAGCTAAGAGGTAGGAGGAAAATATAGAAGTGAAGAAGAACAAACTGATTAAATAGCAAAATGAAATCTTATAGAAGATATTTGTATTAGTTGATTGCTAAAAAATTATAAATAATATATAATATTGTTAAATGAGGATGTACGCACAGAAGTTGCAGGATGTATAATATTGGTCAACAAATTGCAGCATACAGAACATTTCAGTCAGCATATGCAAATTTATTGTAAATGGAGAACGGAACACCAAGAAAATTAATCAGCATAAGGATTCAATGGAAAAGAAAGTCAACTAAATATGTAGAAATGAGTTACAGGATGGTGGGCCTATATGCCAAAATCACCAATGCTCCACATGATAATCAGGGGCAAAGCCAGAAACTTTGGTCACTGAGACCAAGACTCTCAGAATAACTAGCGTCTAATAAATTTTACCTAAATATTAATGACACCAATACCATACCATAGGGAAAATAGTGCAGGGGACAACTTGATATAGGGGCTTATTACTAAACTAGCATTTCGGGACGCGCAAATGCACTTGCAACTAAAATTAAAATTTTATCTAAAAATTTCTTTGCCAAAATTCAGTTATATTATGAGATTTAATGTGTATTTACAGGATTTCTACTAAAGTGTGCGTGCATGTTCATGTTCAAAATAATAAACTAAGTATAAAAATTATATTTTAACCATGATTTCTATATAAAAGTAAAGATAAAAAATGCTTTAAAAAATAATTGACTAAACTATTTACTAAGTTGTTGTGCCATTTTTCTCTCTCACACACACAAACACACACACACACACATACTTTAATCTAAATTAAATGGATTTTTTTGAAAAGAAGTGGTTTAACTCTCTGTTTAAGTGGTAGAATGAGAAATGATTAGTTTGAAGTAATAGAAATAGGACTTCTCTCACAAATGGGTTTGGAAAAGAAATTAATGATTGAGATGGTATTACCACAAGGAAGCACTCCCTCCCACAAAAAAAAAAAAAACAGACGAATTACGAGGGAGCAGACAGTTCTCCGACAAAATCAGACGATTCTCCGAAACAGATCGTCTTCAGTTTTACTCATTTAAAATGTTATGAAAAACATGAGGGATTAGAGATTGAAATGTATTGAGTATAGAAGTAAAATTGGGGCGTGTTTTATTACACCCCTTTAACACAACTCCATCTTGTATCTATGAAAATGTAAAGTGAAAGAAATGGATATGTCATAAAAGAGTAATCTTGGTACTACACATATATTTAGTGGGGCTCAATGGCGGCAATTGACCCCATTGCCCACATTGTAGATCAACCATTGATGATAATCAGAATGAAGTATATTGGCTGTTAGGAATCACCTTTGAATGAAATGGAAGCAACAGAGTTTTAATCACAAGTGAACTTAGGCTTAGGAACGTCTGAAATTTTAAGATCAATACATGATTCTATGTACAATCCCAAAGCCTTTATCCCAAATATTTGCCGTCAGCTACGTGAATTCTATTCTTCCATTCAGTTCTGTTGAGGGCTATCTCCTCCATTAAGTAATCATTATCATTTCCTTTTTAATAGTTTCTATCCAAGTTTTATTTCATCTACCTCTAGTACTTCTTTCTTTATTAATAATAATCTTATTATTTCCCTTAGTTGGGGCATTTAGTGACCCCTTTTATAACCAATATGTGATTCTAAATATTTAATTATTCTTAAGTATTTACTTTGCTGACTTTATGTTGGGTCAAATATTTTGTGCTATAACAAACCTTTTTGGTGAGTTGTTGCATATGTACATATGTTAGAAGAGAGGTCAGATTATGGTTGTTTAGGAAATTGCGAGTAATTTTGAAGTTCTTGGAGTTTCCTCTTTTTCTTAGCCATTAGTGTTGATGAATGTTGTTAGATTGTATTTTTTTAATTGGGTTTTTCGATATTATTCTCTTAAATCTTTCATATTTTGAAGTCCCTCAAATCGTTGAAATTGTTATTAGGTCCCCTAATTCTTAAGTTATTTTGAAATTAGTCCCTCAAATCATTGAAAGTGCTGCTAGGTCCCCCAATTCTCATAAGTTGTTTCAAATTAACATTCTAGTTGCTACTTTTCCTCTTGATTGGAGGGGCTAATTTCAAAATAACTCAAGACTTGGGGGATTTAATAGCAATTTCAATGATTTGAGGGATTAATTTTGAAATATTGAAGATGTAAGGGACAAAAAAAAAGATTGGAGTTTTTTCTTATCCCTTTTGTTGTCGGTATTCATTATTTTGTAGAAAATGATCATCTAAGTGATAGTATACTGTCTGCATATCGTAGGGGATCTATTTGGCATCTGTTACAAAATCAGGATGTTTAACAGTGCATGACTTTGAAACATTGTATTGCTCGACATATGGTCCATCATCAAGTAAGTTTTTATGTTGTGATGAAAGTGGCAAGATTTTTTTATGCTATCATCTTGTACTCTTCAATTCAACGGTGTTAATTTAATTCTGCAAATTAAGCAGTGCAACAATTCATTTTTTAACAGACTTATAATTCATGTCATGTATCTTAACTATCAGCAATACAATAATACTCAATTGACCACATAGTTGATTTAATTTATTTAACTAATGGAAGAACTTTATACTTTTGAGGCCAATTTCTTGATTACTATGCTAAGGTGTAGGAGGTTAGTTCACAGTTATTGTATCTTGAAACTGAAACTGTAGATGAAGCAAAATAGAATTAACATTGTGTATTCCAGTTCCACTGACTCAACTGGTTAAACTGTGATGTAATTTTTAATGGACTGATTACCCTGCAGAGGAAATATACATTTGAGATCCTATTTGAGGTTAGGACCTATTTGTGTGCAGACATACATAAGATAGAACAAATACGTAGGCATCATTTGCTGCATATGAGTTCATGTTAGGGAGGTTTCCATTCGTTTTATATGGCATTCACATCAGAGAAGTTTCCATTAGAGGGTAGGAACCTTGAGTTAAAAGGACTTAAAAAGTACCTCTTGAAGAGGAAAATGGTAACACATCCTTAAGTAATAACTTGTAAATTTGGTTGGATAAAGGATACCTTGTGAGTTTCTCAGTACCTGTACAATATAAAGGCAGAATGATGTGTAGGGAGTATGATTACAGATTTGTAATTTATAGATAATAATATCTCTAGCAATAAAGGTTTTCCTTTCCATAGTTTTAAACCACTTGATTCTACTGGTGCACCATTTTTTCGATCATTTTTAATTTGTTTTAAGCAGTAAGGTGATTTTGGTTCTGTGGTCTTGTTGTTACTTGTTTGATTTTATTTCCTGATAGGTTCTTTGGAGGATGAAACAAACTATTTACTGCATATTTCTACCTCTCACACATTAGATGCTGTCCGCTGGAATCCAGAAAATCAAGATGAGGTTTGGATTGTGACAATTGATCTACCTAGTTTTTCCCCCCTTTATTTTCTTTACATCCAACACACAGTTTCTCGACTTTGGTTCGACGTTGTAAATGTTAGGTTCCTCATCATGATTACTATTCTGATGCAAATGTATTATATATGCAAAATTCTTCCTTGCGTCCATAACATATCAAGCCTGTTTATGTTTAGATTTGCATGTGGAAGAAAAGGACGCATATAGTGCATTCCAAAAGGTTGAGTAAAGGCTTTATTGTTGTTATTTTAGATTCACATGTACACAAAGCTGCATTTGTATGTAGATCCGTATATGATATTAGCCTGGATGGGCTTGTACTTTACCTCCATATTTTGTATGGAATGGTTAAACTATGCAGCTGAATTGCCTGAGCATGCTAATAAATGACAATCAAGTAGGACAGAAAACTTCATACAGTTGATATTGTAATGATGTTTTTCTCTCATAACCTTCTTTGCAACTACAAGTGGTTATCTGAGAAATGGAATAGCTTATTTAATAGCTTTTAGGGACATTTGAAAGACTATCTAGGTTCTATGTTTTGTTAGTCTCTCCCCCTTGAGAAAGCTTATTCTTATGTTTATACTGGATGTATAGGCTTTTCTTTTGTTGAGATAACAAAGGCGACTTTGCGTCGAAATCCATCAAAAGAAAACCTAATAAAAAATAACTATATAATTAGTAATTTAGTTTCTAGACTAGCTTATAAAATTATTGTGGACAGTTTCTGAGATTTCAAAATTCTATATGTATTATTCTCCCAATTTTTCTGTACAAGGATGTGAAGAAACTCATGGTGTCCTTTTCTTCTTTTTACAATTTCAAACTTTTCTTTTGTTGAGATCACAAAGGCACTTTGAGTCAAAATCCCTCAAAAGAAAGCCTAAGAAAGGATAACTAATGATGATTAGTAATTTCGCCTGTAGGTTACCTTAAAATAGTATTGTCAAAAAAGTTTCTGAGGTTTCAATGTTCTATATTATTCACCCACTAATGTATACAAGGATGTGGAGAAACCTATGGTGTCCTTTTCTTCTCCCAGTATTGTATATAAGGATGTGGAGAAACTTATGGTGTGCTTTTCTTCTCCCAACATTGTATATAAGGATGTGCAGAAGCTTGTGGTGTCCTTATTATAAAAGTGTCCTATGAATTATCTAATGTGTCATAGGATTTGTTTAAGTTGTCCTGCATATTGTTGTTCTTCCTTTTCCAATTTTTTGTGTACAATCCTTTGCAGTTTCCTCTGCACATGTTTACTTGTGTATTTTAATTATGTAGCGGGGTCCTTTCTGTTTATACCGACTCTGTTGTCAATAACTATGCACATTTAATGTGATACCTCCTTTACAGAACGAGTCTCCTAAATATATTTTGGCTCCATATTCAGTCCTAGCTTAGCATCCCTTTCTGCTCCAATCCTCATGGTGAACCTCGTCATTGGACATCATTTCCATTTTCAGCATTTATCTGATGCCTGAAGTGCCTAATCTCGTACCTTGGAGTCACTTTTTTTCATCTTTTTGTGGGTTGTTGTTGCTGTCCATAGGCTTAATCGATTTGCTAGCACCAGCGTGGTATGATCTGTGAATAACCATTGGGCCCAGCAATTTGTCATGTGGTAATCTTCTAGCAAGTTTCGGTGTGGTAGCCTCAAGCCTGCGTATATATACTTCTTCTGCCATTTTTTTGGCTTGCACCATTTTTCATTTTCCTCCTTGCACAAAAAAGGATATTCTTGGTGTTCTGACCTCACTACTTTTCAGTATACAAAAGCACTGGGGACTATTGCCTTGCAAATTTATGTTATGCTTTGGCTTTGACACTCTTATCCATTTAACAGTCCATCTCCAGCCCCATTCTTGGCTATTGGTGAGCAAGGTCATGGTCTAGTCGTGCATGACATGGTTTCTTAACCAGATCGGATCCTCTAATCCCCCACACACACACACACAAAAAAAAAAAAAAGAAGGGTTGGATCCTCTAATCAATTTATTGCCTCCCTGGTTCTCACACCTATTTTGCTTCTTTTCAGTTGCTGGATACTTGGGAGCTTATTCATCTAAGTTAACGTTGGTTTGCAATAGCTTGTGTTACGAATTCTGATATGACTCATGATAGCTATCTAAGTTTTTAAACCTTGCATCTAGATACTATCGGCATGTTATTTTTCAGCTGCCCTACTCTACTCGGAAGTTCTCTTCTACATGTGTCCCTCCTCACATCATCTTTATCACATCTCCTGATACAATTACATGTTTTACTTGCATATGTATTCGGGTCATTTATTTTTCTGCTAATTTTTAATATGATGTTGCCAATCACTTTTTGTTTTCGTGTTTCATGTATTATGGTTCTGAAACTATTGTTCTAAATCTATAATGAAGGCCATATTTGTATTTTGCCTCTCCTAAATATCACCAAATTGTGTGCACTATATTAGGAGAAAATATTTTTGTACATTCTATGCATGAGAAAAAGCAATTATATCTTTGCATTGTTATCTT